CTGGAGTCCCTTCGCCCACTCTTCATTGTTATTGATCTCACTTTGCCTGCTCAGGTGCCGCATCTGAGGGGCTCTCAGAGTACGTCAGCAGCACAGGAGAAGCCCCACAGCTCCCCCGTGAAGGAAGGAATGAGCAGGGATTACCACCCACCACTGAAATGCAGCCACCTCTGGGGCAGAACGCAGCAGCTGTCTGACGGAGCACAGCAACGGCACAGCAGTTTGGGATGGGAAGTGAAGATGAACCCCATATCCAAGGGGCTCTGCAGGGGGATTGCCAGGAGGCAGAGGGGATCCCCCACGTCAGAATTGGCCCAGGGAACCCAACACTTCAAAAGCACTGCGGGATTTTTAGTAAGTAGCTGGGGGCCTGGTCCATGACAGGGACTCCGAGGTGCTACAATAATATAAATAATAACCATGATTGGCCAACATCTCCCTGATACAGGCCCCTCCAGCAGCACAGCGCCCCCTAGTGTTATGCTGGGCTGTTGGCTCACTACTGACTGGGGAAAGCGCACCACCCACCGCATGGCCCGCACCATGTAACGAGGCATTTCTTGGAGGCCTCCCATCCAAACACTGACCCAGCTCCACCCCAGGGGGGCTGAGAGCTGCTGGGGTCACAGTGCAAGGGGAGAAGGCTGCAGGGCTCCCCTGGGTGCTGCTGCTCAGCCGGCACCCATCTCAACCTGAGACCCCACAGCCCGGCCTGTAACTATAGCAAGTAATAATAACAATCACGCCATCTCAGCCCCAGCCCACCTGAAACTGACGGGGGAGCTCTGTGGTGAGAACCACCCTCCCTGGGACTCAGGAACGAGGTGTCCCTCTCCCGGAGCATTCGGCAGATACAAGGGGCCACGCCCCAAACTCGCATTGGCACTGGGGATCAGCCTCGAGGCTGGGGGCGGGGCAGGGGTGGTCGGTTTTGTGCTATTAGAAAGCTGGCAACCCTACTGGGAACGAGGCCCGGAACAACTTCCCAGGCCGGCGGCGGATTCTCATCACTGGCAATTGGTAAAGCCAGGTTGGCTGTTTCTCTACAAGACCTGCGTAATTCAGGGCCGGCCTATGGCCTGTGTGAGGCAGGTCAGCCTAGGTGAGCCCAGCGCTCCCTTCGAATCTGTAAATACCGAGGGCGATAAAGCCCAGCTCCACCTGCAGCCCGCTAACAACCAAGGGAGGGGCTATGATTCCCACCCCTCTGAAGGCCTGATGGAGCCCCCCGTGCTCTGTCCCTCCTCCCTCTCCACCCGTGGGCCCCTGCCGCCCCCCCGAACTGTTCACTCTCATGCCAGAGAGAGGGGGCCCCTTTCCACTGCAGCACCAGCAGGGGTCCCTCCAATTTTTCCCACCCGTGCGCGGAATGAATTTTGTTATGCGCACCAATATGGAGGTGATGTTCATGTGGAGGGTTCGGCTGGTGGGAGGGGGCTCAAGGCTGTGGCAGAGGGTTGGGGTGCAGGGGGTGAGGGCTCCAGCTGGGGGTGCGGGTTCTGGGGTGGGGCCGGGAATGAGGGTTTGGGATGCAGGCTGCCCCGGGGTCTACAGCAGGGAGAGAGGGCTCCCCCCAGCTCTCCCTCCCTGCAGCAGCACCTGGGCTAGGGGGGAGAGGCGCCTCTCCCCGCCACAGCAGCTCTGGGGCTGGGGCGGCTGGATAGGCGCCCCTCCCCCAGCCGGGGCAGGGCCGAGGTTGAGTTGAGGCCGGGGGAGGGGAGCCCTGGCCGTGGCAGGTCTGGGCTGCCCCTCCCCCGGCTGCGCGGATTCCCTGAGCGCCTGCGCGGTGCTTAATAGGCTGCTGCGCGGCCGCGCGGCTTACAGGGAACTCAGAGCACCAGAGCTCTCCGCAGGTCACTGAGACCCACAGAGGACCTTGGACTTGGAGGATTCCCCATTACGGTGGCATTTGCGGGAGCCCAGGCCACTCAGGCATTTCAAATCAGGGCCATTGGGCTGGATTCTGATGCAGTGCAGTCCGCAGAGACGCCGGCTTTTCATGCCTGTGACTGAGAGCAGAGTCTGGGCCCTGGCCGTGTGTCGATGTAGCAGATCACGTGCTGTGACGGAGCCTGCACTAGCCTACGTGGCCGGCTTGCTCCCGTCCTTCTCGGAGATCCACGCAGCACCAAGCGGGCACGTGGGTGGGTGTTACTATCTGACTGGTGACCAGGCTTGAGGGCAGACGCACGGGGAGTCTCCAGGCAGGTGCTGGGGCAGGGTGCATGGGTGGGAGAAGCCCAGGGCTCTGCCGAAGCAGGTGGAACTGTGACCTTCAGTAGGTATCAGTTCACATGATGGATCGCTCAGCCCCCAGCCCCCAGAGCCAGATGCTGCTCATTGCAACGGCCCCAGGGGTCCTTCCGGCTCTGCCATACCCTTCCTCTGACGCCAGGGCGTGGGCCGTGGGGTCTGACCAGGACCGGATGGGTGCCTATGGATGGGTCCCTATTTTTGTGGGAATCAATCAATAACCAACCCCTGCCTGGCTTCCACTAGGACCCTCTGGAGTGTGGCACCGATCCAGGAAAGCTCACACCAGCCGCACCCAGGAAAACACAGCTCTTTTTATTCACAAGTTGTAAAAGCATCATTGGCATTTCCTTACTACGAAGAGCCCCTGTGGGGCCCGTTATCTGTACTGGCCTTATTATTTCTAGAGCAGCCGCAGCATGCCTGGGGCTGTAAGAAAGGTCAGTGCTCAGAGGAGTTTACAATCCTATCTAGGCAAATACAACCCTTGGGGCAAACCTTCAAACAGGAGAAGGGGTTTGCGGGGGAGGGAGGGAAAGGGGGTGCAGCGGTCAAGAGATCAGCAGAGGACCCTCATGGGAAAAGTGGGCGTTGAGATGTGTTGCTGGCCCTTTAAGGGAGGCAAAGGACCCAGCCCAGAACAAGAGACTTCTGGGAGGTGTAGTTCCAAGAACTGATAGGAATTGTAGGCCTGGCAGCAATGCATGCTGGGAAGGGGACTGGGCTATAAGAGTCCTCTCTCTGCTTAGGGAAGGGACATTCCTTTCTATCCCCGGTACAAGGAGGGAGTGGAAGGAGGAGGTGCTTGGTGCATGCAGGGCTGATGGCTGCTCTGAGAGTGGCTGAAGATGTGAAGCCAGGGGTGGGAGAAGGGGCTGATGGGAGCAGTGAAAGGAGAGGGTAAAAAGAAGCAGAATGAATGGGAGTAGGAGTGGGGGGTGGGGGGAGGTGGCCAATGCGGGGGAAGGAGAAGATCTTGGTGCCTGCATGCTGGATGGACAGGATGGGTGTGACGTGGGGAGAGGAGCAGCTTGTGGCAGTGGAGATAGGAGGTGACCGGGGAGCAGTGGTTGGGATGGAGAGGGGGAGGGTGGATTGGAGGGATTCAGAGAGGAAGGATGGGACTAGGAAGAGCTGGAGGAGAGGAGGCCAGGGAGCGAAGAATTTTGAGAAGGGCAGGCTAGGGCAGCCGTGAGAGGAGGATTGGGCGGGAAGACAATGAACTCAGCATAGGGGCTGGCTGGGGAAACCTCGGGGAGGTGGGAGCAGGCAGGTGGTGAAAGATTGGGGATGGGGGGTGTCATGGAGTTGGGGAAGACAAGGCCCTCACCCCCGGCTTCCTGCGATTCACTATGACTCTCAGCCAGCCAGTAAAACAGAAGGTTTATTTAGACGACAGGAACACAGTCCAAGAGAGGTCTTGCAGGTACAGACAACAGGACCCCCTCAGTCAGGTCCATCTTGGGGGGCCAGGGGAGGCCAGGAGGTCTGTCTGGCCTCCCCTCCGTTTTCCCAGCCAGCTCCAAACTGAAACTCTCCAGCCCCTGATCTGCCTTTGTCCCTTTCCCGGGCCAGGAGGTCACCTGATCTCTTTGTTCCCCAACACCTTCAGTTGGCACCTTTGCAGAGGAGGGGCCCATAGTTGCCAGGAGACAGAGCGTCGGCCATTCTCTGTGCAGACAGTATCACAGGGGCCCTCTTGGGCTCTGCAACAATCACACCCCCTGATCCCCCCACCTAGATACCTAAGAAATGCATAGGGGAAACTGAGGCACCCACACAGTATTCAGAGAAAACATTAAGAGCATTCCCACTTCGTCACAGGGGGTCAGCCAAGAGGTGGAAGAGGAGAGAGCCAGGGGCAGCCGCCAACAGAGAGGGCAGAAGAGCTGCTAAAGGAGAAGTTGGTGAGCTGGGAGCCAGGGGAACCCACGGAGGAGAGAGGGTGAGGGCATGATCCCCCAAGCCAGCAGCCCAGAGGACCACCGATGAGAGGAGCCTGGGATTCTGGCTCCGTGCTATGCAAGGGTAGAGCCTCTAGCAGCTGTGGGGGGCTCGGCCCCATCCCCCCAGACAGCACCCCCTGCGAACATCGCTGCTGTAGGTGCTGATTGGCCGCCCATGGTGGCAGCTGCAGCAGAACGGTTACGGATCAATTCAACCCCAGCAGCGCTACAGACTGGAACTGGGAGACAAGGGCTACCTGGGTAATGCAGAGAGGGGCTTTCCTGGGGGGGGTCTGGCCTGGGTGACTGTCTCTCCCCTTCCACTGTAGTCCGGCCAGTGACTCGAGGCATGTCTCTGGGGTGCTCCTTGCAAAGCTGCTCCCAGAGCTTCTCTGTCCCTCGTTCCAGGGGGTGTGTCTGGTCCGAGCCCGACCGCGGTTCGTGCATATCTAGGGGTGTCCCACGGCCGCGGGGTTCGAGCTGCATGGGCCCTGCAGGCCGTCGCCCTTCCCACCCCGGTGATATCCCTGGAGCGGGGCCCGTAGGCAGCAGGCAGGGTGGGGGGTCCCGGGGCTGCTGCTGCCCACTGGGGCTGGCGGGCTCCAGGCTCCGGCTGGCTCCGGCCACAGCGATGGACTCACTTAATAAAAGGTTACAAAACCCTAGAGAAAAACCAAAGGAAGGGAGGGCCCGATGCTGAGCAGGGCCCGGCGCCCTGCGTCCCAGCTCCTCCCCGCGGGTTCGCAGCCCAGCAGCCCCTCCCCCCTGCTGTCCAGCCGGGACGCGCCGGGCGGCCCTGGCTCATCTCCTGGGACAGTAAAGCACAAAGCCGTCCCGGCTCTTGCCGAAGTCGGGGAAGGCCAGCTCGTGGCGCGTCTCCACGGCAACCAGCCTCTTCCTCCCGCGCAGGCTCAGCTGGATACAGTCCGACACGCGCACCTGCAGCTCACGCTTCGTTCTGGAGGGGGGAGAGAGAGAGCGGGTCAGCAGGGCTCAGCACCCGGCGGCAAGGGTCACCGGTCGGCAGGGGGGATTCTCGTGCCCAGGAGCACGAGGGTGCGTGTGCGTGCGAGGACACGCGTGCCAGCCGCACTGCACTGGTGTCAAACCTGTGCACGAGCGCGGCGACAGCCGTGGCTAAGGCCCAGCTCTGCTGATTCCAATGGGAGTGAGGAGCCTAACTACCTTTGAGGAGCTGCGCCTAAAACCCAGCTCCGGCCAGGCCGTTTGCCAGGGCAGGGCGGGCTCAGGCGTGTGCCGCTGTTATTTCAGCAGGGAACGAAGCCAGCAGCCCGTCTGTTCGACACCCCAGCCTGCCGCACGTGGCACCCGCCAGACTGACACAACCGGGACGTGTGAGCTTCACACGGTGGGTGTTAATTGGGGAGCCTCATTGTGCCGCTCCCATTTCTAGCCTGCCATGGTTAACCGTGTTCCCGCCGGTCGGCACCGCGAGTGAATCCTGAGTCATTCTCAGGGCTTGTCCACACGGCACTGGCAAAGTGCCTCAGCGGGCTCTGACGTGCTCTGATGTGCGGGCTGACTGCCCCGCGTAGCCCCTCGGAAAGGTACCTCGTTCACATGAACAGGCTCGGCTTCGCTGCGCCGTGGAGACAGACCATAAAGTGCTTCCTGCCTTGGCTTACCTCGCCTGTGCTTGCAAGGGAAGGTACGGCTGGGGAAACTGAGGCATGGAAGGGTTCAGTGACGCAGTGCTAGTGATAGGATTAGAACTCGGGCTCTGCTGGCTCCCAGTCCAATGCTTGGACCTCTCTCGCAATAGCAGGGAGAGCTGGGGAAGGTCTGCCAGGCTTTGCCCAAGGTCACACAGCAAGTCCGGGGCCCAGCTGAGCGCAGAATTCAAGAGTCTTGATGCCTAATCTTGTGCCACCAGCTCCCACCTGACCTGGGGAAGCACAGGCCTCCTAACTGCCACTGATTTCACTTCAGCAGGGGTGGCCAACCTGTGGCTCCAGAGGTTAATATGCGGCTCCTCGTATAGGCACCGATTCCGGGGCCGGAGCTACAGGCGCCAACTTTCCAATGTGCCGGGGGTGCTCACTGCTCAACCCCTGGCTATGCCACAGGCCCTGCCCCCACTCCACCGCTTCCCGCCCCCTCCTCTGAGCCTGCAGTGCCCTCGCTCCTCCCCCAACAGAGCCTCCTGCAGGTGCGGGAGGGAGGGGGAGATGGGGCTGCCGATGGGTGGGAGGCGCTGGGGGCAGGGAGGGGGAGCTGAGGGGGGGCTGCTGACGTATTACTGTGGCTCTTTGGCAATGTACATTGGTAAATTCTGGTTCCTTCTCAGGCTCAGGTTGACCACCCCTGCACTGGAGGATCTAGGCCGACGGGCCCAGAGCTGGGAAACGAACCCAGGTTTCTCTGTTGCTCCTGCTCTTAAAAGCGCGGTGGGGAGGAACTGGTGTCTGCAGTTCTCACCTGTCAAACATCAGTCCCTGGGGCTGTGCCTAGGGAATTGGCTGGGGTCCCAGAACACACACCTCCTCCTCCCTCCGCAGCAGGTCACTCCAAGGACACAGGTCAGCGCTTTGAACCCATCTCCCATCGCTGCAGTTGGAATCTGCGCCAACGGCGTTAAAGGGCCAGACGCACACATGGGGGCAGTTCAGGTTCTCTTGAAAGTGGCCCCTTCTAACCAAAATCCTGCCCCTGAGCTCCCTGAAACTTCCCAGGGCTCAAAATCCAGCTCAGAATTTTAGGGTCCTGGTCCACAGTTGGTATAAATGGGTGTAGCTCTGTCAATTTCAGTGGTGGACTTATACCAGCTCAGGATGAGGCCCTATGCTTTGTAATCTGCAATAAGCAAGGAGATGGCTGCGTGGCTACAATCCAGCAACGGATAAAGGATAGATGACAGAGGTGCAGGAGAGCCGAGAGGTAACGCTGCATCTGAGACAACACGCAGGTAGGGAAGGGGACAGACCTTTTCCCCCTTGGGAAAGCAAAGCCCTTCAATAGACAATATTATTCCAAGCCTGGCTGAAATCCGGCCAATGAGCCGGTTGAGAGGGTTAGAATTAGGCTCGGCAGAATTTGAGTTTTTATAATTTTGAAGGATAATATTGATGTTTGATTTTAAGCATTTTGTTGCATTGATTTAAATGTTCACAGCTGTGGGAAATTGCGAGGGAGGATCAGGCAAGGGGGAGTGGGGGGAGGTCTAGACCAGGGGTAGGTAACCTATGGCATGCGCGCCGAAGGCGGCACGCGAGCTGATTTTCAGTGGCACTCACACTGCCCGGGTCCTGGCCACCGGTCCGGGGGGCTCTGCATTTTAATGTAATTTTAAATGAAGCTTTTTAAATATTTTAAAAACCTTATTTACTTTACATACAATAATAGTTTAGTTCTATATTATAGACTTGTAGAAAGAGACCTTCTAAAAACGTTAAAGTGTATGACTGGCACGTGAAACCTTAAATAAGAGTCAATAACTGAAGACTCAGCACAACACTGCTGAAAGGCTGCCGACCCTGGTCTAGACAATAATTAGTTAATGACTGGAGATGCTGAGATTCAAAAAGTTAAAGCTCTATAACCATTAAAACACAACCTGTCAACATCGCATGCCAAAATACACCAAGTGAATACCCCTAAATCAAACCCTACTCAGTTCTCAAGCAGATTTTTCTTACTTTGCCGATTATTACTGATGGAAAGATTTTGGCCGTCGGCTCGTGTGATTTACGGTGAAATCGACACCTACTGATAAAAATCGAACCCTCCCAAGCCTGGATCCAATGTACAAAGATCTTATGATTCCAAAATCCCCATGGGAGACAGATTATGACTTTATCTGTGTCTGATGTCCCAATAATTACTGCAAAAATAAAGCTGTTTACAGCCTTTCACAGTTCTATCGCCGCGCTTCTACCATGAATAGAGCCGCCACAGTGCGGTGCAGCCAGTCCGTAATGACGGACAAACCCAGCCTGGCATGAGGAGATCCACTGGGAACTCCACCCTTCATTTCCGCTGACAGAATCAGAACCCCCTGACCTCTCACATGCTGCTGCTCATGTAACGGTAGAATTTCTCTGGGATGTTTTGAGAAAAACACATTGGAACAGGAGTCTGGCCTGGGCTGGCTGGTTTTACTGGCCTTGCTGCAAAGAAATGCCCTTTAGTGTGTTTGCTGGGGCTGGCATGACAAATACATCAGCCCCAGCAAACGTCCCCACCCCTCATTAGAGCGGGGGGATGAGAGGAGGCACGTGAGCCTGGCCCCTCCACCCCAGCACAAGGAAGACCTGGTAAATTGAGCATGTTACCGTCCCAGCACCATACAGCTCCCAGCGGACTCCGGCGGAGGGAAGCAGGACAGGGGAGCATGGAGAGGAGGCAGCGGACTGCCAGGACACAGAGCGCTGAAGGTGGTGTTGGGGGCTGAGGGACATGGCGAGGGGACCGGGGCACACAGGAGGGACGTGGAAGGGGGGGCAGAGAACTGGGGGAAGGGAGGGCATGGTGCAGTACAGGCTAGGCAGGCACGGGGGGTTGGCACAGATGGGACCAGGGACATGGGGCGGGGGGGTACATCTCCATTGCAAAGAAAAACCCACGGCACCGAGTCTCCGAGCACAGCCCAATTGACTCCGGCTCACGGGACTAACACTAGCAATGTAGACGGCCGGGATCGGGCTGGAGCCTGGCCTCTGAGACCCCCCCCGCCCCCGAGCTCCCTCCTGCAGCCCTTCCACCCCACGCGCAGCTAGGCCCCTGGCTCGCCTTCAAGAATCAGGGGTAGCCCACACCAAGCTGAGTCCGTGGAGTCCAGCTCTCCCCCAAAGCACACAGGGCCTGAGTGTGTCTTTACCGAGCTGGTGGAGCACCGCTGACCGCCAGGGAGCCCCACCTGCGTTAGAGTGGACGGAGGCCCAGCAGTCCGAGCGCACGAGCCCCACGTGCGAGCGAGGGCGTCCGTGTCCAGCAGTGCCAGAGAGCTCTACACGCACAGTCTGACAGTACAAACCAGCCACGAGCACCCTCGCGTTTCGCAACCCCAACCGCATCACTGGGCCGGCCCGCCAGGCGGCTGCTTTGACTCCCCCTCGCCCGGGGAGCAGCCGCAGGGAGCTCTGACCAGACTCGGGGGCGGGCCCGCGGGCCTCCAGGGGCTGGCAGGGCGTGACGGCAGCTCACCTAGCCAGGCCCCGGCTAGCTCACGCGGGGAGCAGAGCAGCGAGGTTTCAGCAGCGCGGCTTCGGCAGGGGCTGTACGAGCCTGCCTGGAGCGCTGGGCAGTTACTCAGTGCTCGTTACTTGCGCTGGCTAGCTCTGGTGTAATCACACCCCGGGACTGCAGTCTAGACGGGCCCTTCCAAACCGTGTGACGCACTCGGGGCCAGATAAATCACCTGGAAGGATCTCTGAGGCCTTGTTTACGTGGGGCAGCCAAGGCAACAGAAGCTAAACCCGAAAGGCCCCGGTTACTCTGCCTGGGAGCGTCCCAAATGGACCACGAGCCCTCGCTCTCCACGTGGGCCCGAGAAGGGACCGTTCTGACCATCTAGGGAGGGGCTGGTGGGGAGGGGGGCGGTTGTTCTCGGGGCTTTGATTCACTCGTCGGTCTCTGAGCACGTTCCCTGGGGCCAGGCCTCGCCTCCCCCCCACCCCCACCCCGCCGTGCTAGCCGGCCTGACAGCTGTCGCTTTTGTGAGCCCACGTGCTGCCACCTCGACCCCGGCGTGACCCGCAGGTCGCGTGTGTCCTTTCAGAGCGGGGAACCGAGCCCAGGAACCAACACCTGGGCCAAGGCCCCTTCCGGCTGGCTGGGGTCTGACGAGGGGCTAGGAACTGCGGGGGAGGGGCTCCTGCCCCACGCCTTTGATCCCGAGAGCCAGAGCACGGGGCGGGGCAGGAAAGGGCTAATCGACACTGGCCCCTGTGGGATGCCCCCTGGCCTTCCCCTAGGGCAGTGCCAGCCCCGCCCCCATCA